TAAGGTGTTATCATGTGAATTGAAAAATTGTTTAAAGTAGTATGATACTAGGTCGTAGAGTTAGTTCATATATATATAATGATGAGATGTGGATTCATGGTGAATTTCTTGAGGGGGTATGTGAACCATTATTTTGTGTGCACTTATCTATATTATGTATGTGATGTGAAATTGAGTTATGAACTGTGGTATGATGTCTTGGCACAAATGTATACATATTGTATCTACCATTTTAGTATTGAATTGATAGCATGATGTGGCAAATGGTATATTATGGCTTAATTTTTCAATTAATTATGATGTGAGTATGTTGACATGAAATGAGATGTTGTGTTGAATGTGAATATGATATGATTGTGTTTCCTCACACTTATGTCTGTGTGGCATAACCTTGGAAAAGAAATGCTACAGGGGTGGCGTGAGCATGACATAGTGTGGGATGTGTGAAACAATTAACACGTATGTCAATGTGGCATGACCTTGAGCAAGAGATGCTACAAGGGTAGAGTGAGCATGGCATAGTGTTAAATGCAAGATTTGTGATGATTGTGAACGAAATGTGATTGTGGTTCCTCACATTTCGTAGTTGACCGAGTCCAATGGATTAATTTTAAGAAAGGAGTCAGTACTGAAGAACGATCTTAGATCACACAAAGAGCATTCGTCTTCTGCTCATCCAGGTAAGGAGGGAGTGAGAAACCTTACTCTGGGTGTAGAATGTATGTTGGGTTGTGGGATTGGCCTCCAATCCTGTGTTTGTTGTATGCTCATGTATGAGGGGTTTTCCCCAATTGTATCTGTTTCATCTGTTGTTCCTCTTGTATGTAATTAATTGTATAAATTTCTTGAATGAATGATTAATTTCAGTTTTAAAATTGTAATTGTATGATTTGAGATTTCTATGAGTTCCTACGGAAACCCTATGAGAAAACGGGCAAAATATGAATGTTTTCTATTTTGCCTTCTGATTGCTTTGTTGTGTTTCTTGTTGGATGTGATGCATGAGTATGTGGTTAATTTTGAAAATGAATATGTTTTTATATGAATTAGAGTATTCTATGGGTTCTTACGGAAACCCTGTGAGAAAACAGGAAAAATATGAATGTTTTTTGTTTTATCCCCTGAGTTTTGAGTTGTATTTTTTGATGTTTACGGAGTGTAAATATGTGTTTCATTTTGCAAATAGATGAGTTTTGATATGAATTAAAGTGTTCTGTGAAAATTGTGAATAATGATGTGATAATATGATAATATGATAATGTGATATGGTGATGTGATGTGATGATGTGATATGATGATGTGACATAATGATGTGATATGATAATGAGACATGATAATGTGATATGGTGATGTGATATGATAATGTGTTATGATGATGAGACATGATGATGAGACATGATAATTGATATGAGAATGAGATATGAAAATGTGATATGAGAAAAACATGGAGTCTTGATTGACATGCATCATGTGCATAAATATTTTTAAGGGTACGATATGGAATACACTGCCAGAGAAGGCCCCCTAGTGTAAATGCTTTGGAGATTAGTCCTTGGAGATAGCTCGATTTATAAGTCTCAGTCTCACCCATTGTGTGCATGGATGTATCTTGCGCGGCTTAGCTATCCTGACGAGACTGTGGTAATATGTCCTTCTAGTGAGAGTGCGTAGATGATGTAACATCATGGCATTAGTTTAGAATTTCATGTTTTTGTAATGACTTTATTTAGTTAATGATTTTAGTATTTCTTGGTTTTAATTTATGTTTTAGATGTGATACCGCTATCTGAAGAACCTTGTAAACAATTTTCTTTTTAGTAAAATTTATTTCAAACTTTTTTATTAAATATATTAGCACGTGGAGTGTCTTACTATACAAATTTTAGCTTTCAATCTTTTAATTTCTGCCGCTTTAGCCTTATAGCATCAATTTACCGTAGTGATCCTTGTAAATAAAAATATTTTTTTAACATTTAAAAACTAATATTTTTTTTTGATTTAATGTGGCTGTATACACAAAGCAGGATTCAAACCCCTGACCTTGCTTAAACATAGATCAACCCCTACCGCTGAACCACACACTTAAGGTTATTTAAAAACTAATATAATAAATCTTATGTTTTCAAGAATTAAAATAACCTTTCTATAAATTACAACCAAAATATTAATATCAATAATAAAAAAAATAAAGTTAGTAAATCATCAAATCATAAATTTGGGTTAAATTCAAACATATAATTTTGACCTTAGCAGAAATATTGCTTTTACCAAATAATCACATTCAACAAAAATACTTATATATATATATATATATGTGTGTCTGTGTGTATAATACTATTAACCATATAATTAAATAAATAAATTTGTAATACAAAATTTAAATTATCTTTATTTTTTAGATTTTTACTACACTTAAACTTTTTACATTCTTTACTCGTCTAAATCAAGATATGGAAAATAAAATTCTAATAGCTTCACCTTCGCCTACTTTTATTCATTTATGTTTATGATTAATTATTTAGAATACTTCACATGTGTTATAAGAAACATTTACAAAGTTCTTTTTTAATAAGAATATCCTTTTCATTACGGTCCATGCTTGAGTGTTTTTTTAGTATAGATGAATATATATAAGTTTTCCCTCAATTAGTTTTTTATTTTTATTTTAAACTCTAAATTTTAATAATAATATAATAAACTATTTTTTATCGTACAAATTGAAAAATTCTTATCATGCAAATTAAACAAAGACTTGCAGATGTATTTAAAATTAAATTTATTGACATATTTAACATTGTTAATAGAAAATAAACTAATTATAAAATAGACTTTTAAAGATGTTAATAGATCATTCTAGATTTTAAAAATGGTAGACCAAACCTATTAAAAGAGTCTATAATAGATAATAGGTCAGAATTAAATTTTAATTTTATAGAATAAACTTGACCTATATATTCAAAATCTGATTTGAATTATTCCCACCCCTAACTATATATATGAACATGTGAGATAGAAGGTGAGTCACAACTCTAGCACAAGATAGTTACTCGCATTTAATATATAGGGATTGATTTTGGGAAAAACTAGTTTTATTTTAAAAAATAACAGTTTGGACAAATAGATAAAAATGTATAAAAATATGTATGTTTTATTAAAAAAAATTAAACAAAATGACTTCTTAACTTATTGACAAACTTATTTTAATTTATGCACACCAATTTTAGTTTATGAAAATATTTATTTATCTTTTTTTCTGAAATAGTTTTAAAAAATTTATCCAATTATATCTTTTTAAAAAATACTATATAAGTTTAGGCAGAAAATAGTTTTACAAATATGTTATTTTTTTGCCGATTTTCTTGTGAACAAAAAAATGCAGGAAATATCTGCAAATTTTCCTACAACTAAAAAACTGCTAAAAAAAAACATTTCTATACATGTTTATGTGAATCACAAGTTGAAAGAAATATTTGTAAATTTTTTTTTTGTGAAAATAAATTTGAAGGAAATTCCTACAATGTTTTTTTGCTACTTGTATTAAAATTTTCTTTAATATATGTACCGAAGGGACCTTATCGGTCACGTGAACCAACACGTACCGTTCCGTCAGACACCCATGCGAACTGAACCATACCTTAAACCCTGACGCTAGAATCGGCTCGGCCTAGAGCCGAAGGCCGAGAAGAGTCTGCTAGCAGTATCGGCTCGGCTTAAGGCCGATACGAACAGCACCATGATGCATCTTCGTACACTACGTATCGGCTCGGCCAAGCGCCGACCAAGTAAGATAACCGATTAGGCATTTGTCAGCCCGGTCTACAGCCGAGGACGTGCAACTTCCCAAGCCTTAGCCTGTCGGCTCGGCGATGTGCCGAATGGTTAAACGGATTATAGTACAAATCACAGTTAACAAGGATAAGCGCATGATTAAGACATGATTAACTGATTAGCATTGTATTACCTAATTTGGTAAGTGTCAGAAAAGGCCCACCACGGTCAGGCCCATGTCAGATATTATAAATTGGTCGCACGTAGCGAGGTACGTCACTGTTCATTTTTACCCTAGAAAATCGTGCTTGTCCTGACTTGAGCGTCGGAGTGCCTTTTGCAGGTATCTCCCCCCTCTAAAGTGTCCACCAGAAGTATCCGTTCGGCCTTCCCCACAGAAGATTACGAGTGTACCCTCAGACAGGTACATTTTGGCGCCCACCGTGGGGCCGAACCGATAGCTGTGAAAGACTTTTGAAGAATCGTTATGGCAAAGACAAGAAGAGCTAACGTTGAAGACCACCAGTCTGAAGATGAGCATCGGTCCGGGGCGGACAATGCCGAGACAGTAGAGGAGACAAACTTGACTGATATGGTACGCCAAATGAAGGAAGAAATGGCCGCCATGAAACAGCAGCGGGAAAGAGATGCTGCCGAGATGGCTGCGTTGCGAGCAGAGAATGCTGCCCTCAAAAACCAGTACCGGGATCCCACATGGAAACCCTCTAAGACAACCCACACTTAGGGGTCGTTCCACCCACACGGCCATCCCACCTCTATCCCTAATACTTCTGTTGCTGCCCCAGCCGTCCATGCTTCGGTCAGCCGGCCGATACAACCGATGCCGGTCAAAGCACACCCACACCCCTTTACCCCAAACATCATGCAGTCTGCACTTCTTGACCATTGGAAGTCCTTGCCTCTAGACAAGTATGATGGTACCACCGACCCAGATGAGCACGTCGATGTGTTCTTAACTCAAGTTACTCTAAGCACTACTGATGACGCCGCCTTAGGCCGAATGTTCCCAACATCATTAAAAGGGCGAGCACTGAGTTGGTTTACTCGGCTTCCTGCTAATTCGGTTGACTCATTCAACATGTTAGCCTCCCAGTTCTCCATTCAGTTCGCTACAAGCCCGCCCCACCAGTTGACCTCTTTGGCACTAGTTAGCATCCGTCAGGAGAAAAAGGAGTCCCTTCGGGCGTTCATGAGCCTCCCTTCGGGTATTCATGAGCCGATTCAACAAGGCGGCGCTTGAAATCCGAGACCTGAACCCTGCTGTAGCTCTGCACAACCTTACCACCGCCTTGAAACCAGGGCCTTTCGCCAACAACATTTGTAAGAAACCCCCTACTAACATAGATGACTTGCGTCGGCGAGCCGACAAATACATGCAGATGGAAGAATTGGCTGAGTTCCGGAACCAAGCCCGAGCGGAGGTGTCGGCAAAACCTGACAAGCCGGCCAAGACTAATTTCCGGAGTCGTCCGAAAGAGTTGATTCCTCGCGAGAAGCCTCCTCGCGGGCCGAGATACTCACAATATACGCCACTCAATACAAGCAGATCGGCCGTCCTAGAGCAAGCACTTGCCTCAGAGGTGCTAGCAGTCCCAAAACGAGCTTCGACCCCTCCCAGGGCTGATACAACAAAGTCTTGCAGGTACCATCGTAATCGGGGGTATTCCACAGAGGAATGCGCGGCTTTGAAAGACAAAATTGAAGACTTAATCAAACAGGGACAACTGCAAGGCTTCATAGACCGTCCGACCTCATCCCAACACGCCGACCGGTCTTGGCGGCATGATCAGCCCGAGCAGAGGAGAACGGGAACACACTCATACAGGGAACGTAGTCGGTCGAGAGATAGGCGAGAGGAAGAGCCTTCGGCGCAACCTCAGCGAGTCATCAACACCATAGCCAGTGGATTCGCTGGCGGGGGCTCATCCTCATCGGCCCAACGAAGACACCTGCGAGCCGTTCGGCACGTGCATGCAGTGGAAATAGCTTGTCGCCGCCTTCCCACCATCACTTTCACCGAGGCCGACTTCAAAGGCATCGACCCAGACCAAGATGTTCAAATGGTAATCAGTGTTGAAATTCACAACTGTATTGTACGTAAAACATTGGTTGATCAGGGAAGTTCAGCCGACATCCTGTATTGGAACACGTTCAAGCAGTTGGGTATTCCAAAATCTGAGCTAGTTCCTTATGATGAACCTCTGGTTGGGTTCTCAGGCAAACGAGTCAAGACAAAGGGATATATCAAGCTGTCAACCCGGTTTGGGTTTGAAGGAGCTGAATATCGTGACATCTCAGTCAAATATGTGGTAGTTCATGCCAGCACATCTTATAATATTCAGCTCGACTAGCCATCCCTGAATCGGCTTGGGGCGGTTGTGTCCACCCCTCATTTAGCCATGAAGTTCCCGGCCGAGTCAGGACGAGTCATCATGGTCCATGCTGATCAAAAGACTGCGTGAGAGTGCTACTTTGCCAGCTTGCAATTACCAAGAGTGAAGGACGAAGTGCCTAAGGAGCCGAGAGGCGTTCACTCGGTGTCACAGCAATCGGCCATGGACCTCGACCCCCGGATCGATCAAGAAGAGAGGGTAGAACCTATTGAAGACAAGCAATCGATTCAAGTTGGAGCCTCGGACTCCCAGCTTACTTACCTAGGGACCGTCCTCTCTGAACAAGAAAAGAGTGCTATCGGACAAGTAATTCTTGACAACAAAGACTTATTTGCATGGCATCCCTCCGACATGCCTGGCATTGACCCGGATTTCCTTTGCCACAAGCTTTCAATCAGTAAAGAGGCAAAGCCGATTGCCCAGCGGTGTCGGAAGGCCGGAGAAGATAGGAAAGTAGCGATCGAAGTTGAAGTATCCAAACTGCTAGATGCTCGGTTCATCCGAGAAGTGCACTATATGACATTGCTGGTCAACGTTGTCATGGTCCGAAAACCGAGTGGAAAGTGGCGTATGTGTTCCGATTACACAAACTTGAACAAAGCCTGCCCGAAAGACGCCTACCCATTGCCGAATATTGACCGACTCGTTGATGGAGCATCGGGTCACAAATTCTTGTCTTTCTTGGATGCATACTCGGGGTACAACCAGATCCGTATGCACCCCCAAGATGAAGAAAAGACGGCATTCATTACTGAAACGACCAACTACTGCTATCGGGTCATGTCGTTCGGGTTGAAAAATGCCGGAGTCACGTATCAGCGTTTGATGAATAAAATTTTTCATGACTAGATTGGTCGAAGTATGGAAGTGTATGTTGACGACATGGTCGTAAAATCAAGCGACATCTCCACGCATGTGCGTGACCTGGCTGATGTCTTCCAAGCGCTTCGGCAACATCAGATGAGGCTTAATCCCGAAAAATGCGTGTTCGGGGTCTCAGGTGGAAAATTTTTGGGGTTCATGTTGTCCAACCGAGGCATTGAAGCAAACCTCGACAAATGCCAAGCCATTTTGGATATGAAAAGCCCGAGCACTCTGAAGGAAGTCCAAAAGTTAGCGGGCCGGCTCACCTCGCTCTCCCGGTTCCTCCCTCGTCTGGCTGAAGTAACCCAGCCTATCCTACTTCTACTCAAGAAAACCGAGCGGTTCTGCTGGACCCAGGAATGTGAAGAATCGTTCCAACAGTTCAAGAAATGCCTTAGCGCGCCTCCTGTACTCTCCAAGCCGATCGGTGACCTCGATATGGTCGTTTACCTGGCCGTTTCAAGTTATTCTGTGAGTTCCGTCTTGGTACAAGAAAACCAAGGTCATCAGTAACCTGTGTATTTTATCAGCCGGACGCTGCAAGACGCCGAGCGACGCTATCAGCTATTAGAAAAGGTGGCCTTAGGGCTCATCTATGCCGCCCGACGATTAAGACAGTACTTCCAAAGCCACAGGATAGTAGTCCGAACCGACTGCCCGGTTGCAAAGGTCCTCTAGAAACCAGAAATTGCCAGCCGGATGATGGCATGGTCGGTCGAGCTCTCAGAATTTGACATATCTTTCGAGCCAAGAGGGCCGATCAAGTCGCAACATTTGGCTGATTTCGCTAACGAGCTTACTCCTCCGGGATGGTTTGAAGACGAGCCGTGGACCATGCATGTTGATGGATCCTCTAATGCCCAAGGCAGTGGCGCCGGCGTAATTCTTGTTAGCCCCTCAGGTATCACCGTCGAATAATCCCTTAGGTTCGGCTTCCGTGCATCCAACAATCAGGCAGAGTACGAAGCCTTGATAGCCGGAATGAGACTAGCAACCGAGATGGGTGTCAAGAAAATCATATGCTGGACTAACTCTAAAATCGTGGCCGAACAGGTCAACGATAACTTTCAGGTCAAGGACTCCAATTTGTTGCAATACTAACTTCTTCCAAAAGCTCAAGGACGATTTCACCGAGGTACAGATACGACACGTCTTGCGTAGCAACAATGAACGAGCCGATCAGCTAGCTCGGCTCGCCAGCAGCCGAAAGCCAGGACAGTTGCGAACAACCATTCACCTTGAAATTCCTTCCCCAAGTGTGACGGTTGAGTGTATGGCAACCGGTACTGAGGCGCCGACTTGGATGACAGCCATCCGGAACTTTATTGTCCGAGGGGAGTTTCCAACCGACCCGATGGAAGCCAAAAAGTTACGAACAAAAGCGGCTCGGTACTCCATGGTGGCCGATGAGCTCTACAGGCGTGGATTCTCCATCCCGCTGCTCAAATGCATCGACAATCACCAAGCTGACTATGTAATAAGGGAAATACACGAAGGTATCTGCGGCTCCCATTCAGGGGGACGAACTCTGGCAGCCAAAGTCTTGCGTGCCGGCTACTATTGGCCAACTCTGAAAGGAGATTGCGCTGAGTTCGTTAAAAAGTGTGTGCAATGTCAAAAGCATGGAAACCTCATCCATGCTTCGGCCGCAGAGTTGCACAGTATCAGTTCCCCATGGCCGTTTGCTTTATGGGGTATAGACGTGCTCGGACCGTTCCCTGTAGCAAAGGGGCAAGTTAAAATCCTTCTCGTTGCGGTGGATTACTGTACAAAGTGGATAGAAGCCGAATTGCTCGCCTGCATCTCCGCTGCCAATGTTCAGAAGTTTGTTTGGAAAAATCTGGTTACCCGCTTCGGCATCCCGTACGCCATTGTTAAACGGGCAACAAGGTTCACATCAATCGAGCATCCGCAGTCAAACGGGCAAGCCGAAGCAGCCAACAAGGTTATACTCACTGAGCTCAAGAAGAGACTCGGCTCGGCCAAAGGAGCATGGGCCGAAGAGTTACCGGAAGTCCTTTGGGCATACCGATGCACGCCACAATCAACTACCAAAGAGACGCCTTTTCGCCTAACGTACGGCGCGAACGCGATGATCCCGACGCTTTAATTCCAACCTAAAGCCGAGGACATTTCATGAAGGCGATCTCGTATGGAGAGCAACCGGTTCGGCAAGGCGCAACTCTTCTGAGGGAAAGCTCGCAGCCAATTGGGACGGCCCGTTCCGGATATGGCATGCCCTCCACAATGGAGCTTACAAGTTAGAAGAACTGTCCTGCAAGGTCATCCCTCAGACATGGAATTCTACTCATTTGAAGACTTATTACAGTTAGAATTTAACTCATGTACATCTGAAAATGTATAATGATGCACTCTTTTCCTTGAACCGGTCTTTTTTCCTCTTAAAAAATTGTGAAAAGAGGTTTTGGCCGGCAAGGTTTTTAACGAGGCATCCATTCAATCAATAACAAGACAGTTCAACTATCTATGACTTGTTGTACATTGTTGCGATTTTATTTCATATTACAAGTCTTCCCTCCCGAGATGTCTCTTGGCCAAGGATGTGGCTTTAATTATCTTACAAGTCTTCCCTCCCGAGATCTCTCTCGGCCAAGGACGTGGCTTTAATTATTTTACAAGTTCCCTCCCGAGATCTCTCTCGGCCAAGGACGTGGCTTTAATTATTTTACAACTCTTCCTTCCCGAGGTCTCTCTCGGCCAAGCACGTGGCTTTAATTGTTTTACAAGTCTTCCCTCCCGAGATCTCTCTCGGCCCAGGACGTGGCTTTAATTATTTTACAAGTCTTCCCTCCCGAGATCTCTCTCGGCCAAGGACGTGGCTTTAATTATTTTACAAGTCTTCCCTCCCGAGATCTCTTTCGGCCAAGGACGTGGCTTTAATTATTTTACAAGTCTTCCCTCCCGAGATCTCTTTCGGCCAAGGACGTGGCTTTAATTATTTTACAAGTCTTCCCTCCCGAGATCTCTCTCGGTCAAGGATGTGGCTTATGTTATTAAGTCTTCCCTCCCGAGATCTCTCTCTGCCAAGGATACGGCTTCCATCAATTCTTACGAGTTTTCATCACAAAAAAAGTAAATATTACACCAATAGATAACAGCAAGGAAAAACAATTCATTCAACAAGGCACTATTGGCCTAGAACAGTACATTCAAAAAGGGCACTATTGGCCCATCCACACAAAGAACAATAAAACGCTCAAGACCCCACCTCCGGTTCCCCCTGAACCGGACCATCCTAAGGCGCACCCTCTTCATACGCTATCACCTCCTCATTCGGCCCAGCTTGCCGTGCCGGGGATTCCTCGTCGGCCTGTTGGTCTGGTGGGATGGAGGTTAGGTCCACCAACTTCCCCTGGAATAAGTCCTTGGTCATATTTAGGTGAAAGTCGGGGGGGAAGTCACCGAAGAAGCATGCTTGCCGAGCCGCCTGAGCAAAGCCAGCCTGATGTTGAGTGAGGACCTTGTTGCGCGCTTTCTCTTTATAAGCCTTGAAAGAAACCTTCTCAGCATCCAACTCCTTACCCAGAGCCGCAACCTTTTTGGTCTCGCTCTTCAAGGCGAGCTCAAGACGCTGAACCTTAAGAGCTAGGTCGTCAGCAGTTCGCCCCCGGCGATTCATCTCGGCCTGATATTTGTTGTTGGCCGTTTGGGCGTCAGTGAGTGCTGCCAACGTCTCTTGGAAAGACTTCTCCTGCTCAGCCAGCTGATGACGAAGTCCGTCGGCCTCGCCGTTCGGCTCCATCACAATACTATGTGCCAAGGCCACAGCACTGACTTGGAACTCACAGAAGAAGCTCCACTTCTGAGCCGAGGTCATGCGACTCAGCACCCCTTGACCTGCTTCGGAGGTCAAGTCTTGGCTCAGGAAATCCTAAGCGTTAACATTACCAGCCAAAAAACTTGGTCCGGCCAAGCCTTCTGGAACAGTTGGACCAGCCACACGGCGCTGCTTAGCCCGACGGATCTCTTCCTCGGCCCTCGGATCAGGCCTTCTTTTTTCAGGTTGGGGCCGAGTGGGCTTCCTCGGTTTGACCATTGGTCCCGCCCCACCACCTTGGGCAGTTGGTTGATTCCCGCGCACGCCGGCCGGGGTCTTGTTCCTAGTGGTCGCCGCCGCTTGGTTTCGGATCAATGTGCGGATGTCTAGATCGTCCTCTCCATGATCCGCCATGATACCTGCACATCATTAGTCAAAATCAATGATAACGCAAGAATTTAAACAAGTAAGAAAGGTACTATACCAATCAATTCTTCCACTACGTCGGCCGATTCGCACAATCGGACCAGAGGACGGCACGACAAAGGCCGGAGCAACTTCTCTAAAAAATTTAGACTCAATCTCTCCTCCGGGGACATTCGAGATTTGGACACGGTGTCGTACTTCCTCGGCTTCCGAGTCCAGTACAACGGAAACAGTGATCTCCCTTCGGCATCGAAGAAATATTTATTCCCTGGCTCCGGCCGAATCATCACCTTCATAAATCCTACTTTGAAATTCTTATAGGAAGTGGTGAAAGGCTGTAATAGGCAATCACTGTGCCGAACCAGTGACAACCACTTAATCTTCTTCGTAGGCCGAGACGAATAGAAGTGCAGGAACAGGTGCGGAGTGGGCTGGATGCTGAGAGCCAAGCACAACTGCCTAAACCCTTGCATTGCCGCCCAAGTGTTGGGATGAAGCTGACTCGGCGCCACGTTTAGAAGCCGCAGTATACCGACAAAATAATCATTAAAAGGGAGGGTTATCTTCAAATCCCAGAACATGTAATCATACACATAAAAGAACTGGTATTTGCACGACCCTTGGTTCAAATACACGAAATCCGGATTCGGCCCTCCATCGCCTCGGCACGGCTGAAAAAAGATGGCAGAGGGTTCCTCTTCCTCGGGAAAGGTCAAGAATTTCACTGCTGAAACGAAACGAATAAGAGAGTTCTTGTCGGTATACCGGGAATACACGCTGCCAACCTCCCCGTGCACCCACGAGTACCCAGGAGTCGATATGGGAGCAAACCTCCTGGACGATCCACCACCTCGGCTCGGATGATCATCAGAAGCTATCACCGATGAAGAATGACTCCCACTTCGCGACCGTTCGGACTCGGAAACGGACTCTGTACGATCCTCCCCATTGGAAGCCGAGGCCGATGCGACGTCTCGGTCCGGCGTTGCCCTCAATCCAGAATTTCTTGTGTCCCCGGAGGAGTCAACATGAACAAAATTTAAATCTGCCATTGCATACCTGATTTTTGAACTTAACCAATCTTTGTTGAAGAATACTCGAACACCGCAACTCAGCTGATCTCGGCTTGGAGCAAGCAATAAACGTGTATCTTTGGGGACCCTCCCCACACGCCTATTTATAGGCATTCCTTGCAAGTATATCAAGAGTCACGTCCCTCCACACACCGTTGGATCACTTAGATCCACCGGTTCACGATGCGTAACCCTTCTCATGCGTCATTAATACCCAACGGTTATAACCCTTGGTATTCCGACAACAGTTACAACTCTTCGCCTTCCATTAGCAGTCATAACTCCTCACATGCGTTAATGCCCAACGGTTACAACCATTCGCCTCCCATCAGCCGTTGTAACCCTTGGCCTTCCCTCGCAAAAGGTAACAATCAAAGTACCACATTCACCCTTTGCGTCGTTTCACTCCTAAAGGCTGGGGGGCTTGTGTACCGGAGGGACCTTATCGGTCACGTGAACCAACATGTACCGTTCCGTCAGACACCCATGCGAACTGAACCATACCTTAAACCCTAACGCTAGAATCGGCTCGGCCTAGAGCTGAAGGCCGAGAAGAGTCTGCTAGCAGTATCGGCTCGACTTAAGGCCGATACGAACGACACCATGATGCATCTTCGTACACTACGTATCGGCTCGACCAAGCGTCGACCAAGTAAGATAACCGATTAGGCATTTGTCGGCCCGGTCTACAGCCGAGGACGTGCAACTTCCCAAGCCTTAGCCTGTCGGCTCCACGATGTGCCGAATGGTTAAACGGGTTATAGTACAAATCACAGTTAACAAGGATGAGCGCATGATTAAGACATGATTAGCTGATTAGCATTGTATTACCTAATTTGGTAAGTGTCAGAAAAGGGCCACCACGATCAGGCCCATGTCAGATATTATAAATAGGTCGCACGTAACGAGGTACGTCACTATTCATTTTTATCCTAGAAAATCGTGTTTGTCCTGACTTGAGCGTCGTAGTGCCTTTTGCAGGTACCTCCCCCTCTGAAGTGTCCACCAGAAATATCCGTTCGGCCCTTCCCCACAGAAGATTACGAGTGTACCCTCATATAGGTACAATATATAATCATAGCTACTGATTATATATTAAAGAAAGAAAATTAAACGCATTCATTTTTGTTTTGAAAAACTAATTATGCATTGAAGACAGAAGATGATTTCAAATTAAAATATTGTACGGTTTTTTTAATAAATTTTATGAAAATAAACTAGAAAAGAAATTCAGTGTTTAACCGCTGTGATCATAAGATACATCTAGAAAATTAAAATGCAAGACTAAATTGTAAATAATAAACACAACTACGATCTACATTCTTTTGCTCAATTATTGTTGGGTGACTGAAGATTTTATTTTATTTTATTTTTATTTTATAAATGTATATATTGTCCATCAAATAAGATTTACTAATGTCAAAAAATATCCGGCCTACGTCAATGTAATTGACATTTAATGAAAACTAACATTAATTAACTTATTTCACTTTATTTCATAGTCAACTCATATCTGTTATTCGGGAAAAAAGTAATAGTGCTGTTCTTTCGCCAGCATTGTCGTATATTATAAATACACAAAGTTTCCATTATAGGAAATAGTGAATAAAATGGTAGTTGGGATAGGTTTATTGGTAATTGTTTATAGTCGTATCGGAAATTTCACTAAATTATTTATTTAAAGTTAAATTTAATCTTATTGGCCCTGGAATATACAAGAAGAATTAGATTAATTTGTTTTTCTTTTACAGTAGTATATTAATATTAATATTATATGTAATTAAATTATAAAATATTCGAATATAAAATTTAAATGAAAATAAACACATTATTAGACAATTAAATAACTTCCATCTGTATAACTTAATAAATTCGTTTTTATAAAGTTATCATCTTTATTTCTGGCATATGATAGAAAACTATTTAAAATTATAATTATAATTAGTATATTAAAATATTTATTATATATAATTAAAATTTATAATAATATTTTTATTTATTGATAATTCATTTTTAAATATTAAGATTTATTTCATAAATACTTAACATAAATAAAAATTAAATTATATAAGAAATTTAAAAAAATTTAGAAACTTATTGAAAAAAAAAATTCTAAAAGTATTCTCATACAGAATTTCGTGCTTAACATATAGAGTTGATTATATCATGTCATCTTCACCCTTACACATCATCACTTGACTTTTGCTTCCCTGTAACAACGCATGATCTATATAAGGATAATAATCAGCATCTTCAAAGTACAACTTGGCTAAAATGGATTTTGTTCTAAATTACCTAAATGCAACTGCCATTGGACTTCTTTCTCTAATTCTCTTTTGTTTGTTTTTGTATCGTCCCTTCAAATTTGGTCATAATAAAGAGGCTCCCATGGTTGCAGGTGCATGGCCAATACTTGGCCACCTCCCGTTGTTGAGTGGTTCTCAAAGACCACATAGAACTTTGGGTGCTTTGGCTGACAAGTACGGGCCCGTATTCACTATCAAGCTTGGTGTCAAAGAGGCTTTGGTAATCAACAACTGGGAAGTGGCTAAGGAATGCTTTACCACAAATGACATTGTTGTTTCCTCTCGCCCTAAGCTTGTTGCCGTTGAGCACTTAGGCTACAACCAAGCTTTGTTACCCGTAGCACCCTATGGTCCTTATTGGCGTGAGCTACGAAAGATTACAACATCAGAGATTCTTTCCAATCGCCGAATAGAGGAACTACAACCTGTTCGTGTGACAGAAGTTCAAACTTCGATTAAGGAGCTCTTCAATGTCTGGAGTAGAACAAAGAACGAATCTGGTTATGCGTTGGTGGATCTGAAGCAATGGTTTTCTCATTTGACATTCAACATTATTTTTCAGATGGTCATTGGAAAGCGATACTTTAGTGTTGCAACTAAGGATGATGAGAAGGCACAAAGATTTGTAAAAGCCGCGAAGGAGTTCATCCGTCTGTTTGGCGTGTTCACAGTGGGAGATGCTATTCCTTATTTGAGATGGTTTGATTTTGGTGGCCATGAGAAGGCCATGAAAGAAACTGGCAAGGAATTTGATAGTATATTAAGTGAGTGGTTAGAGGAGCATCGACAAAATAGGGCTTTGGGTGAGAATATTCAAGACTTCATGGATGTGATGATTTCCTTGCTTGATGGAAAAACAATTGAAGGGATAGATGCCGATACCATCATCAAATCCACCGTAGAGGTAATGTATGCGGGACCCTATACTCTTCATGTAGTCGTCAATATTGTTAGCAACGTTGTCTTTTATTTTTCTTTTTTTGGACATAACTAGAAAGAAATAAAAAGAAAATTATTAGTAAATAGAAAGAAAATGACAAAAGTGATAAATGATATAGGAGTGATTACCATACATATGTGAATTATATACCTCGCGTCCATCCAAGTTAATCACTTATAAAAAATTTCTTAATTTTGTCTTATAAATGATTAAAAATAAATGCACCATTAAGGCACAATTAATCATTATATATATATATATATATATATATATATATTACATTTTAAAAAAAAAAATTCAGTTCTTTTAGATTCACTTTAATTTTTCTTTCTCAAACATTAATTGAGTTTCATAATTTTCATGTATGTGGATTTAATGAAACATTTTCTTTTAAGATATGACTAAATTATATTTTAATATTTAATTATTCATATAATAAATAATAAAACTAATATCTAACTTGTTTCTCATTAAAATATGATATTTCTATCTTTTCAATAGAGTAGAGGATATATGTACACTTGAAAAATATAAATCCAGGTACAATAGGTATCATTTCAAAATCATAACAACATACCAAAGTGTTTTCACATTCATGTACAATGATTCAAAGTATTCGAAACAACAAATTGTTAAACAAGCAAATATCATACCATTTTCTTTATTTATTGATTTAGAAACTCTCACTTATAAAAGGTTTTGGATCACATATTTGATTTGTAGACGATAATTTTGGGCGGAACTGACACGAGCAGTAGCACTCTTACATGGGCAATAAGTTTGGTATTGAGAAATCCTCTTGAATTAGAAAAAGTTAAAGAAGAACTTGACATCCAAGTTGGAAAACAAAGATGTGTATGTGAGTATGATGTAAGTAAGTTAACGTATCTTCGGGCCATAGTCAAAGAAACTTTGAGATTATACCCTCCTGTTCCCCTCTCTGCTCCTCGTGAATTCACAGATGATTGCATTTTAAGAGGATACAATATCAAGAAAGGAACCCGTCTAATTACGAATCTTTGGAAAATTCATACAGATTGTAATGTTTGGTCAGATCCATTAGAGTTTAAACCGGAAAGGTTTCTTACAACTCATAAAGATATTGATATCAGGGGTCATCATTTTGAGCTATTACCATTCGGAAGTGGTAGAAGGGTTTGTCCTGGAATATCCTTTGGCCTTCAAACTATTCATTTTACTCTTGCAAGTCTTTTGCATTCCTTCGAGATCTTAAATTCATCAACTGAACCAATTGATATGACTGAACTCTTCGGAGTAACCAATGATAAAGCCACTCCACTTAAGATTCTTATTAAACCACGATTATCTCCTAGTTCTTCTGAAAGCTTGTAATCCGTATGTGTTAGTTAGCGGTGTGAACTTGGTGCATGTATTTTGATTGTTAAACTATATATGTAGTCTATTTTGGGTAAATGGGCGTGTTTGTCTTGTAAAGTATTTCAAAACTATGTATTTGTTGTTTTCATTTTAATTATCATAAAGGAGGAGATTAGTTTGAAGTATTTCTTGAATATGTGATTATTCGGTCATAATAATATTTTTTCTATGGTCAAAATTATATGTTTGAATTTCTCCTATAAATTAATGATTCGATGATTAACTAACTTTAATTTTTCATATTTTATTGATATATTAATATTTTGGTAGTAATTTATAAGATGTTATTTTAATTGTTGAAAACATACGATTCATCGTATTAGTTCTTAAATGATAAAAAAAAATTACATTTTTCACTACAATCACAAAACAACAATTTAGGGTTGGTTATACACCAATGTCAATGACAAACTAAAATATTGAAAGCTAAAATTTGAATAAACTAAATAGTTGGTGGACATATATGTTTCTATTGAGTATGACTAAGAATATGAGATTGAAACATTGGTTGATGTATGAGAGCATTAGGAAACATTGCAAGAAACATGTTGATAATGTCAATGTTGCTAATTCAAATTGCATTGATAAGTAAGAATTTTTCATTGATGAAGCACTTGAACTCTTGGTGGTTTCCTTTGAATCTCCTGTTCAAACTCCATTTTTGCTTTGTATATTACAAACCCATAAGATTTCACTTGATTAGTCCCTAAATCATATTGTTCTAGGGGATAAGATCATCTCTAACATCACACATAATCTCTTAGATTTGACATATTAATAGTTTCCTTATACGACACTTTAAACTATGACACTCCACACGATAACAATTCACTCAACTCTTTATTTGTTAGAAATTTTTATCGATGTAAACTCTTCTTGGTTAGTCTTTTTTAATATGTCTAGCCACCTTAGAATCAATAATTGTTATACATCGGGAATTAACACACATGTTTCTTTACATTGGTATGATATGGTCTATATTATATCTAAATCTTCATAGATTTACTTTTGGTCATCACTCAAGACACCTCATACTACATAGACATTTATGTGCTTATAAACCCATGTCTCTTTTGTTGTTCTTGTAACATCTTAAACTTACTAGAATAAGAGAGATTTAGAGACATTATAGTTGAGGATGACTAAAAGAAATTAATTAGTACTTATACTAACAAGATGTATCTACTTTATAGTAACTCATCAGTTAAGAGCTCCACAATTAAGTAAGTTTAACTTGGAGCAATTTAGTTATGGTGACCTTTTGGAAAGTTTCTTAGAAAGTATGTGAGTGAAAATACATTGTAAAGTCTTGTGTTAGTTTGTGAAGATAGTTATTGATCCTAAAGGCACCAATCATCTTGAAAAGGCTACCCATGAAGGGTTATGATCAATGAGAACTTGTGTGAAGTATTACCGTATGAAGCATTGCAGAGTGTAGTAATTGAGATGCCATATCTAATACGGATTACAATTCTAACGATGTGGGACTTTGTTTATAGCTTTAACAATTGTCATTCTTAACTATATAATCTTTAGATCTCTTTCACCTTATATTTCAAAGATGTTATGAATGTCACTGTGTGAACCATTGAGAAGTTGAAATTGAGGGGCGTTACACCTAATAACACTCTAAGTCAACTCTAACATTCAAATCTATGAGGAATCTCTCATTAAGATGCAATTCGTTTGTGAGACAAATAATGGTATAAGAAGATAACTTCATTAAGACAATCCTATTAGTAAATAAGATGAACTTTCATACATAAAAAGATATATGCATTAAAATCTCGATCATGTAAAATCTCTAAACATGAAACTGACTACATTTGAATATTTTCTTAATAGATCAAATTTAAAAATACATCATTGATACCAACATTCTACAAAAAGGAAAAGAAAGACATATTTTATGTTAGAAAAGGACAAATAGATCTTTACAAACATGGTAAGTTGTAATCAAAAGTTGTTTCATCACTACAACATACAAATACACACATAGTTCTAGCTACTCGGTGCCAAAAGGTGATAAGTAGCTTCTTTCACCAAATAAGAAGTGACAATTAGGTGAAAATATTTAATGAAAGCATTATTACACCACACTTCACTCCTCAAGAAGCCAAACGTGAAGATAGGTGAAGCAACGAGAGAGAACCTCAAAAAGTTGCAACAATTATCTTCATTAAAGTCATATAAAAGGATGTTTGAAGTTTAGAAAGAAGAAAGATTAATCATTGTAAAAGCTACATTCTTTCTTTCTATAAATAGTCTTTGTATGTAATTTGTTGTATCATGTCTTGAAAGGAAGACAAAACAAATTTATAAACCTCAATAATATTATTTGGTTTGAGCCTATAGAGACTTGATTATAAAAGAATACTTGTTATTTGAGCATGGAGAGGTTTGACTGTAAAAGAATACTCAATGTTGAAGTATCAAGAGCATTGTGTAAAATGAATACTTGGGTTGATTGCTTGAGGAGGTAATTCAAAAAATACTTAAGGCTGAGACAAAAGTGACTTGGTAAAGAATACTTGTATCTTTGATAAGATAGTGGAACTTGGTTTGGTTGGATAAAAAACTATATGTATTCTCAGTAGTTGAGATGAACCGATATCAATCTTCAAGTTCAATCTTTGCTTCATCTTCCCTTTCATATTTGTTATGTCACTACTTCGTTGCTCTACAAATAGTGGGAGTTTTGAGTACATTAGTGCAAAAATTTGATTTAAAATCAGAGTTTTAAGATCGGTTACAAGGTAACCGATCTTAAAAGTGACGCGATGACAATTTTGTAAATAAACTGAACACTTTTAAGATCGGTTCAAATTTAACCGATCTTAAAAGTTGTATCATACATAACTTTTAAGATCGGTTATAAAATAAGCGATCTTAAAAGTACATTTAAGATCAGTTATTTTATGACCGATCTTAAAAGTGCTACTTTTAAAATCAGTTATTTCAAAATCAGTTAAATTTCGTTTTCCCTCCATTCGTTTTTTAAATCTCTCCCTCGCACTCTCAATTTCTAAAGAGGTAAATTTCGTTATCATTTTCGTTTTTGTTTTCCTCTTCTTGTATCTCTTTTCGTTTTCTCATGCGGTTCTCTTGTCTCTATTTTCGTTGTAGGTTTATTTTGGGTAAATTTCGAATCTGGAATGGCCCGTTCTGCAAAGAGAATGACCCGTTCTCCTTTCAGTACGGGCCGTACTGCATGGAGAACGGCCCGTTCTCCTTTCAGTACGGCCCGTACTGAAAGGAGAACGGGCCGTTCTGATTTTTGTTCTTCAATTCGTGCTTTTCACAATCTGGAACGGCCCGTTCCAGTTTGATTTTTTTTCTTGACCAGCACTTTTAAGATCGGTTATAAAACAACCGATCTTAAAAGTTTACTTTTAAAATCGGTTATTTAACCGATTTTAAAAGTCTAACTTTTAAAATCGGCTCTTTTAAAATCGGTTACAAAATCGATTTTAAAAGTAAAAAATAACCAATTTTAAAAGCCTTTTTTCCACTAGTGGTAACATTATTCAACCTCCCTTCTAGTATTTATTTTTTCTCCATATGAATGATTTGAGGTACCTATATTATTATTTAGAAAAGAGAAATCATGGAGAGAGCAATTATGAATAAGTTATGATGTAAGTTAATTACTAACAACTTGGGGTATTTTGATGATAGCAATTTGGATACCAAAGTCTATGGTTGTGGGTACTAACAAGAAAGAAACCCAAAAAAATTGGGCATCAAAGTCTTAGATAATTTCTGTAGCAGATACCCTTAGTGGGAAAAAGGAAGGATTCACGCTAGTACCTGAATAGTGGCTACTCATGACACATGACAAGAGAAAGGTCTATATTCCTAGACTTTCAACCTCATGAAGGGTTTGTCTCATTTAGAGGTAATGGAAAATGAGGAATCGAAGTATAAGTAACATAGATAAAAATTCCATACCTACTATTCATAATGTTTTATATGTTGAAGGTTTAAAGTACAATCTGCTTAGCATAAGTTAATTTTGTGATACTAGATATACTATGATATTTGAAAAAGATACATGCATAGTCAAGAAAGATGATGAGTCTGTACTTTTTATTACCTACAAGAAGAATAATATCTATGAGATTAATCTAGAAAATTATGGAAAATAGAATGTAACATATTTGGTCTCGAAAGAAGATGAAAGATGGATTTGACAAAAATAAGCTTAGGCATGTTAATCTAAAACATATTTCAAAATTGAGCAAAAAAAACTTAGTAAAAAGATTGTCTGAGATTTCATGGCGAACTCATTTTTTCTATGAAGTCTGTTAGAAGAAAAAAAATAAAACTTCTTTTAAATTCGAAAAAATTATTTCCACTTGTAGACCTCTAGAGTTGTTACATATGGATTTGTTCAATCTAATTAGAACTTTAAGTCTAGGTGGTAAGAAGTATAGACTAGTTATTGTTGATGACTATTTTAGATATATATGGGTATACTTACTAGTCCACAAACATGAGTCTTTCAAAATCTTTGAAATATTTTAAAAGAGTTTCAAAATGAAAAAGAATTTTGCATATCTACCATCAAAAATGACCACAGAACCAAAATTGAAAATACTTATTTAAAAATGTTTTGTCAAAAAATTGGTATCTTTCATAACTTCTTTTCACCGAGACCACCTCAACAAAATGAGGTAGTTGAAAGAAAGAATTAAACTTTACAAAAAATGGCTAGAACTCTTCTTTGCGAAAATTCTTTGGCAAAATACTTTTGTAACCATTTGCACTTAGTTTTTGAGTGATATTAAAGTTGGATGAGATTTCTCTCTCAATGGCTTTATATACACCGGTTTTCGTCTGGGATTTTCCTACAAGGATTGGGAGACTTCTGAAACAAGAGAAGCAACCCCTAAGGTCTAGGGAAGGTACGAAAGTGGGCCAAGATGGAGCACGAGAAGTTCGGGAAGCATTTCTACACAAAAAAGAGTCAAAACCTTAATCCTAGGTCTAAAATAGTCGTTTCTAGAGGTGGAACGGTTGTTTCCCCTTTGTAACACACATTGCTCTACATAGTAATTCCATTTGACCTGATCATGTGTAAAATTAAGGCGCAAAATAGTCGGTCCAGTGTTGGGAACAACCGTTCCTTTTACTTGGATGCCTATAAAAGCATGCT